TATTTATTTATTTATTTATTTATATATATATATATAATCAGATGTCTGCATTAGTAAAAAAAGTAGTAAATTGCCAAGAATATTAATATCTATATAAACGATCCTTTGCAGTTACTAACCCTTGTCGAACTATGTATGTTTATATAAGAGATCACCCTGTTGACAATGTCTTATAGGACTGTATCAATCTCTCCTCTTTTTTACAGAACCAATATTAGTAGTTTTTGAATATATGTCTAAGGGAAACCTACTGGAATTCCTAAAGAACTCACCTGAGAACGTCGCCAGCGCCCTCAACTACGTTGTCACGTTTGGACATCATGTTGCCAAGGGAATGGAATTCCTTGCAGCAACGGAGGTACAACAATTTGTATTTATCTAACAGGTGGTTTGGGGAGGGATGAGAGGTTGTGGTTTTGATTTAGACATTCCATTGCCAACCAAATAATGCGAAAGATTCTAGATCTAGATTCTACCCTTTACGAGGGTAGCAGTTACGACGGGATAGTTTAAAGCTAAAGATTTGTTTTAAAATGCTAAGCTAAAAAACTATAGGCATCATATTATTGAATTGTTTACTTTTTCAAATTATAACGAGAAAACGTATTTTTGCCATTAAACAGATGGATATTTGGCACAGAAAATGGTTTTTGAATATTCAAAAATCTGTATAGGCCTATCAGTAACCTATCAATATTCGTCAAATATGTTCATTGTGTCTTAGAGAAATCAGTTGTCATATCAAAAAAATAATTTCCTCCGGAACCTGGCTTTAAACGACTCTATAAATCAACGAAAACTAAGTTGTTTCGACCTGTTTCGTCGAAGTTGACCTTTGTAAAATAGAGAAATTAAATATTTTAATTCAATTTTTCAGAAGTTTTCAAGATTTCATTACCTGAACACAATTAGTATACTGTTATTTTTTTCAGATAATTCACAGAGACTTAGCAGCAAGAAATATTCTCATCAACGAAGCTGGAATGTGTAAAGTAGCTGACTTTGGGTTTGCAAAGGATGTATTTGGAGTTAGAAAGTACACAAAGAAATTACAGGTCAGTAGATTACTGTACATAAAACTATCAAAAATTGAAAAAAATAGAATTGAAATGTTGGAGCCTTTATAATCATTTCAATTAAGTCCGATTAAAGTTTTAATCCGGTTGTAGTCAGTCATTAGGTAGTTTTCGCCGCACAACGTTAACCCTAACTTCAACGTTAGTACCCAACATAGCTCCGCCCCTTTTTGTAAACAAATCGAAATACGCATGCGCAAACCTGTAACTAACGCACGTCGAGCACGTACAATCCTGAAATTAACGTACTCCGCAACGCAAAATGAATAAATTAGGACGTCATCCGTTAACGTTAAGGTTAAAGTCGTGCGACGAAAACTGCCTAAAGCCCTGTCTAAAATATAAAATTTTATTTAACATGAAACATGTGACATCTAAATACATTATGCCATCATAACATGACAATATATGGGCATCATCATGACTACCGGTATATATGGGCATAGGCCTACAACATTTTTGTCAAAGAAAATTTAAATGATCTAGATAGGGCTTTATATATACTTAATGAAGCATCTTACCAATCCCACAGACAGCTCCCCTTCGGTGGATGGCGCCTGAATCATTGGTAGATGGTGTGTTTAGCACTCAAAGTGATGTTTGGAGTTTCGGTGTTCTGCTCTGGGAAATCGTAACTCTCGGTAAGTATTAAACGGTCACCATTCTTTGTGGCAAAACAAAAATTTGGTTATTCACGCTAAAGGTTCGTCTACACTTATTCAATTTAGACTAGGCGTCGTAAACGAAATCAACGCAACACGCCAGTCACTACACTACAGTCCATTTTCAATGTATACCGTACCACATGTAACTAGCTAGCTCTCGTAAACGCGTCTCATGGAAAGTTAATAACTACAAATCATAGTCAATAGATTTTTCTATTGACTATGCTGCAATAGAACCCCTCCTCGAGGACACCCTTTTTCAGCCGCGAAACGAGCGAAAGTATATCTTTTAACACAACGGCCAACCCCTATTTTGGGGACACCCTATTAAGGGGACACTTTGTTTGGTCCCGAAGGTGCTCTATTGTAGTTAAGTGAGCATTTTAATCATTTTAATTAAGCCTGATTAAGCCAACCCATTTTAATTTGTTGTTAAGGACTAGCTAAACGACAACGTAAAAATACGTAAAACATACGTGATTGCAGGACATGCGCGTATTCCTGGCCATGTTTATTTGTCTGTTGTTCAGTTTAATTGACATTCCGGAAAGCTCCATTTATTTGTAGGAGTTTTCAGATTTTACCACGTTTTAATTGTGTGTGTGTACGTTATGACCACCAGGGCGTGAGGTTCCATATTACAACATACGAAGCAATGAGATCAAGAAAAAAATTAAAGACGGAGTTAGACTTCGGAAACCAGGTCATTGTCCAACAGATCTGTAAGTATTATAGTTTGTTTTATTGAACATTCGGTGCATCCTTTTGTAATGCTGTGTTAGTACCGTATCATTGATAGGCATACCTTGTCCATCTGTAGCTTTGTCGTCAAACATCATGTAGGTCCATGTAAATAATTCGGTGAAACAGCTATTTGTTTAAACAACTTGTGTGATCATTTGTAAAAAATAACTTCAACCCTAATATATAATTTAACGAAAGTCAAAAGTTAAAACCGAACAGCTTATATTAGACCAGGGAACAGTGCAATTTCACTGTTCCCTGATTAGACCTACTAATATGCGTATACCGCAATAATTACAGTAAATAAACTAGATTCTACTTAGGCATATGACTAGTACTTTAAACCGGAACCATAATCAACGTTTACAAAATACGTTCTCTTATATAACCTAGATATGAAATAATGAGCAATTGTTGGAAAGCAGATCCGGAAGAGAGACTAACATTTCAGCGATTATGTCAGGAATTTGAAGTTTTGAACCGGTTAGGACAATACACACCAGAGTAAGTTTGCATTTACTTTTTTTTTTCAAAGGCTTCTTGACAACACATGAAACATTTGTTATTTTAATGAATCAATATGAAATATAATAATAATAATAATAATAATAATAATAATAATAATAATAATAATAATAATAATAATATTTATTTTTTTCTTGAAGGTCGAGTACTACACAGGCCCGTAAGTCTAGTGGGTTTTATAGACTGTACAACAGGATAACCCGACAACTTTCGGGCAATAGTGCTGTATAATAAGCTCATTGCATTGGTGGATATCAAAATACTCGATGTGTCAATAAATTGTTGAGGTACCGGTACTCTATGTGATGCCGAGAAGGTGAAATGTAATCGCTGCTGAGCCTGAAAACTTCAAGCTTAACTCCCAAAAATAATGTTGGGTGTTGACAAACGTTTGAATCTAACAAGTTCTCGTAATCTCGAAAGATCCGATGAGGGCAATTTAATAGAGGCAGTAGAGTATATTGGCCCTAACGGCCGCCCATACAACCAAATTATATTAATCAATCAGCCGAGTGTTTCTAGATCTTCTCATCGGAGCTAAAAAAAAAAAAAAAAAAAAAAAAAAAAAAAAAAAAAAAACTTTTATTAGGCTGCATCTAAGGTTAATGTTTGTATTCGTATGTGTCCGCCATGTTGTAGTTAAGTCGGGTGGCGCTGCACTACGGCTGCCGTCCATGGGTCCCCAGCAAATATTGATGGTAATTGATTACCATAAGCTATAGTTCTGTTCTATGTCTTAAATTCAAATGAACACAGAATACTATTTACAGAAATTGTAGTATTTTAGTATGCTTTTGAAAATTTGACTACACAGAACAAACAATTCAAAATATCAATATAATTATATATTTGGGTATAGGTTAATTTTTTAACAATTATGAGTAATCTGTATAAATGTGTATTTAACTTATTGTATTGTATAATGTCGATTGAGACTTACTAAAATTGTACAAACTGTTTATGTAAAAACAAAATCAATCGAACTTTCATCAGCCATTCAATTTCTTAAGTTTGCACAAACATGTAAAGCTCGTAGTAGTGCTGGAAGGCATAGATCAAATATTCTCTCCATCACAAAAAGTAGCCATAATCTAAAATTGAAGAAAAATAAGAGCCTAATACAAATTGCGTCAAATAAGCAATGCTGAATCCAGAGATTTTAAATAGTCGACATTGAGATTTTTTTGTTTTTGTTTTGTTGTTGTTTGTGCTGCAACTGATTGGCAACTGTTTTTCGTTTCCTCTTGTATCATTGATCAGAAATATATCCTGTTGGCTAGCCGTCGAGTCGTGGGAGCACTTCAATTTCAAATAATTAACTTGAATCAAATTGAAGTTTAACAATCAAAATCGAAACACAAAAATAAATAAAATATTCAATATACATCTCAATAATTTAAAGAAAAGTCGATGCAAAATTTAAAGTAAAGCAGATGCAACTTTCACAATTTCCATCCACTCTTGTCTGTTTTCGGTTGACTTTCCAGCTTATACGGCACCTATCTTTGTTCATTCAGTGTTGTTTATCCAGTTTTTCCTTGGTCTTACTCGCTTCCGCTTGCCATTTTAAGGCCGTTTTCCACTAGGCGAATTTGTTCGCGCGAATCGAAAATTTGTACCCGTACGCATGCGCTTTTGAGAATCTCGTGATGAAAAATAAACTGCACATGCGTACAGGCGAAAATTTTCGATTCGCGCGAATAAATTCGTCTAGTGGAAAACGGCCTTTACAAAGCTCTGCAAGATTGAACTTCTTGAAGTGCCACTTTGCTTGTGGATATGTTCAAACTATTTCAGTTTGAATTTTTGAAAACCAGTAGAGTAATAAAATTAATAGTATTTTACAATCTTTACACAATACCCGGATTATGTATATTGTCCCATGATAGAAGCCTATCAAATGACACGAAGTTAAAAAGCTTTCAAGGCAAGATGAGTAGGCCTATAATTCATGTTGTATGTTAATTTTCAAAATTAATAAAGAACATGCACAATCGTATCTATACAATTTAGTTAAAGTCCAATAAAATAGATAATGAAATAATGTTGTATTATTTATAGGGCTATTCAAAATACGTTTTTAAGTTGTATTAATATTTATATTACCACAATCGTTTATATGTAAAAGCGAAATTGTTTAATGTTTGTATAGGCTTATATTGCCTCTTTACTAAATAATGTAAGAGCATGGACCTATGGTAAGAGTACATAATGAACGAATATAAAATCTGTATATAACTAATAATTTGGATTTACTGATTCAGACATGAATATAGCTGCGATAATTCCCGTCAGGCCTATTGTATTAATTTTTTTACTATTTTGAGTGTTTCACCTTGATTACGTATGCTGGATATACTGTTATAATTACACCCGCCTCTTGATCATGATTATTTTTATAAAGCGTTATTTTACAGTAAATGCACAAATTGGAGCCGATAGAATTTAATTTCATTATTTATATGCCATGACCTTTGGTACAGACATGAGTAGTTGAAACTACGAGAGAGCTTGCGATAGTTTAGAGCGTGTGTTATGAGGACGCATTCATAGCATAGCATGAGAGTGTCATCTTAAGCTTGTTTTCCACTTGGCGAATTTATTCGTGCGAGTGGAAAGCGGCGGCTCATGCACATGCGCATTCACATTTCTATCGGAGTTTTTGCTTGCGAAAAAATGCGCAACCAATCAGAACTCAGATAGCGAACCGACGCTTTGATCGCGCGAATAAATTCGCCTAGTGGAAAACCAGCTTTAAGCCGGACATTCAGTGCGCCCGACGGGTCGTCAGCCGACTCATTTCCATGGAGAACGCAAGGCCACGACGCTCACACACGGTTCATTTGTAATGATGATCCGTTCATACTGCCACCGACAATCAGCAGACGGCGTCGAGTCGTCTAGCGCTCACAGGGAGCGGAGTTAGATGCGTCGTACGAACACGTTTGTGGCAGTGAAATCGAGAACTTCGCTCGTGGAAGGGCAGGAAAACAGAATGTCGAGAAGTACGTAACGTGGGGAAAGATCGTCGAGGTGGAAGATGATTTAGCGAGAGAACATAAAATATAATATTTATGACTCGAGTTGAATTGATCGAACAATGCCGAAGAAAGTGAGTGTGGAGATGGCTTGAGATGAAGAAGCTAAGGGATCAATGATTTTGGCAAGAAGAGTTTCAATGCGTTGGATTAAGTATTTAAAGAAATACTTCATTTTTACATTTCACAGAGTTACAGAATAGAAATCTGCAAAACTGAAAAAATTGTTCTGCCTGTTGTAGGCTTTTATTGAGACGGTCATACCCAATTGGGCGAATCGAAGCAATTGATTGTATATCTTATTTTACCTTATCTGATGCAACACAATATTTACACATGTTTGTAATCCTTCTTCACAAGGATGACATTCCATAGTTCACAAATTCAATATTTAGTCATATTAATATTTTCATTCAACTTTATCATGCTTGTGAAACTTTTGACTGAATACGTATAAAATACGTCAACATTTTCCAAAATCACACACGGATTTTTCAAATACAATTCAAATTGAGTAGTGATATCTCATCCAACATCGAATTACCTTGTGTGGTAGAAGCGTATTTGGAATACTGCCACCAATGTTACTAAATTCAATACGACACTGGCGCGTGATATTGCAACCTTGTACTTAAAACAATGTTAATACCAGCAACTTCATTAAATAAATATTTGTATAGTATGTACTACTATGATATATGCAAATATGGGAATATAAACCATAGCTGACAAATGAGGTTTGTCTTGGGTAGAAGTAGAGTGGAAGGGAAGGCTTATACGGAATTGCTGTGATGTAGGCCTAATCTATTCATCTGGAACGTGAACAATTCAAAATACGGAAGCAACTTTCGCCTACTTGGACTTGCACCAGCAGAGAGGGGCAGTGGAAGTCCAACACAAATTAGATGTCCAACACATCTTTAATCAGAACATATTCATTCACCGCGAACCACAAATAACAGATTGTAAAAAATATATTATGTCTAAATCAGAGTTATATCGATATATTTAATCAATCGCAAGACGCTCGGAACTGCAATGTGCTACCACAACTGACCAGTACCAGGCGCTTGTATTGGTAGCCCGTGTGTTCGTAAACAGACTGTTCTCACTTCATCATAGATAATTAAGATGTATAGACCGATCCATTTACAGTAATTACTGTATTATCTTTCGTCAGACGCCATAGCTGGGGACCTCTAGTGGGGGGATTCATACGTACCATCTGCTCCAATGTAATTATTGGAATGAAGTACAGTAGGCCCTATTTTATTTTCGTCGTACATCTAATACTTTCACCACTGAACATGGACATGGGGATACTATGAAGGTCCCCAGCAATGGCGGCGCCAAGAGAGAGTGCCCTTTCCCAATTGGATTTGATAATAACAAAACTGGTAATTTGTTCATTCCGTCATTACTCATGGGATTTGTGGCTAATTATTTCCGAACTTCGACAATATTATATTACTTAGATCTTTTAAACATTTCCCACTGTAATAGAATCGATCAACTGGCCAACCCAGATGAAATATAAATACCTCTAATATTATTATTATGATTATTATTATGATTATTATTATTATTATTATTATTATTATTATTATTATTATTATTATTATTATTATTATTATTTATTATTATTATTATTATTATTATTATTATTATTATTATTATTATTATTATTATTATTATTATTATTATTATTATTATTATTATTATCATCATTATTATTATTATTATAGGTAATGATTTCTTGTTTTTTTCCTTTCCTGCGCTGGTCTACATCCTGGACCACTGTTTTCTGGATGTGCGGCAATTTTCTTCATTTGTTGAAAAAAAGTGATTTTATATATAACAACATAGTTTGTGCATGTTTGTACACTTACACCTTTGTGAAACCAAGTAGGCCTATGCCTATGTAATAGTTGATTGCCCTATTACCAGTTTAATATTTATTTATTTATATAATATATATTTTACATATTAGGCATAAAATCAAATCAAAAAATGGCTAGAGGGGTTGCCATTGCCAATGACACCATCGGCTGAGAGCACAACACAAGATGTGGATATCCTCTAAGCACCCTGACCAATCATACAATAAATGTCGAAACAGCACAGGGGAAAGACGATACGTTTAATAGATTAAAATAGCCTATAAATAGATTAATAAAATGTTAAAAAGATGTTACAAATAAAAAATTACAATAGAGGCTTACAGGATTTTGTTCTGCAAAACCGCAATTGTTAAAATACCATTAAAACCTGAATCGAGAGATTACAAGATATAGAAATAGCATAGAAAATTAAAATTTTTAAAATTTTAATAATTACAAAATTAAAATTTTAAAAAAAAACAAATATATACAGGATAGATATATATAGATATTTTTAGATTTAGAAGTACAGTATATCAATTTTAGTCTGATTTAGATGTCGAAGATTATGTGGTTTTACATCATTATAAAAATAGTACAGGCCTAGAGATTTTTTACAAATCGATTAAAATATACCATTCAAGCCCTGAGCTTCTTTCTTAAACCCCTCCCCACACCAGCACAACCAAATGCACAACGTTGTCCTAATACTAATAATTATGTTCACATTATCTGTTCTCGATTCATGCCGCCGTCTCTCGTTGAAGCCTATATCCACTATTCGAAGGCTCATTGATTTAGATTTCGTTTATTGCATGATGATAAAGACCTAATTTATTATTGTGCAATAATATTCATGTCAATGTATTCAGATAAGACATTACTGTGAGCTGCAATTAATCCTTTTGTGGTTGGCTGTCAATAATACAGGTCTAGTTAATAGTATTATTAGTCTCTAAGTATATTTACACAAATTGAATTGAGCTTGCGGTCTCACAACATATGTTATTTTTCCCGCCATTTCCGTCGCCGTAGAAGAGACATAACCGATCTTTCGTGCTTCATATCTACCGAATATCGTACAACCGTGGTCAATTAAAGCTGTAAATACATTCTTAGAACGTAGATTATCTACATACTGTAATCTCCGATCTTTAATAAACATTACTGTATCGGACTTGGCAGAAATTTAATCGAATCGTGCGGCAAGCTAACACTACAGCACCACCCTTTTAAAATGTATTATATGAACAATATTTGCCTGTAACCATAAATAAATAATTTATTATTTTAACTTTTATTTAGATATGCGAGATACTACAAATCCGTAGAGATTCGCCGAGCTGAAGCAATGGTGTTTAATTCATCTTCATTGTACAATACACTGAGTCGGTTTATATCAGTTAAAGTACCGAAAGCGGTTTCTGAAGCTGAAAATAAGCATTAAATATCTTTAATTAGGAATACATGTTCTATTTTTGGTAGACTTATTTATGAATTACATTCTCTGACCCCTATCTAGACAAAAGTATGATTATTAAATCGTGTTAAATTAAATAAATATTAATCAGTTAGAATTACATTAATTAATTTGCCTATAATGAGTAGGCCTATATATGAAAAGGGTAATTATTAAGTTGTTTATCTACTTGGAAAATCAGCATCACATACTTCAATAAAACGTAGCATTTAGTGGCTCATAATTCATATTTAATATACAATTATCTCATACCGTACCTTCTAAATATTCCTCGCGCATGTCATCAAGGATATCAGAAAGCAAATGGAACGATGGACGATCATCCGGGTTCGTGCTCCAGCACCACTTCATAATTCGAAATCTGAAGGATAAATGAACACGTATATGAATACAATTGATTTATACATCAAGATACCATAAATGCGGCGCTTACTGTATAACCAAGGTATAACATTTTATGAGGCTTCAGCGTCACTGCTTATTCGAGAGAGGCCGAACGGTACCTTGGTAGGGGCGCCGCTAACACAGCCTTAACACCGGTCTGGTTCGAGCCGCTCCTCGACCAGGGTTCAGTTCATAGAACGAAGCCTTCTCATGTGAAACAAAAAATAAATAATGTAAATAAATAAATTGTCGGATAAAAACTTAAAATTAAGGTCCGGTGCATATATCTAACCATTGTGCAATTTAAAAACACATAGCATCTTTTGGAAGAGTAAGGGGTTACCCCAATGTTGTGGTTCATTTCAGCCCTTTTCAGTGGAATGATGTGAACGAATGAAAGAAGCTATTACAGTATTATAAGCGCCTCTTTACGGTGACTAGCTAGGTGTTACGGACAATTTCCATACGTAAAACAGCTCAATGACGCTGTGCGTTGAATTATTCTCCTACCTTTACCTTTAATTTGAGGCACTTAATATTACAAATTATTGAAGTGCTAAGTACCATGTGCTTACTGTCTTTGTGACGCTAGTGTCAAGGACACAGTACTTTCTAGTGCCAACCTCCTTTAGCCACCGTGCCCAAAATTATTGCGCTAGCATATAACCTGGTGGATCAAAGGGTGAAAAAAGGGGGAGTGGGCACCATACACGGCATCAACCAAAAAATCTCTAACCAAGTGTGAAATACTTTAGACTAGATAAGAGATTAAAAAAGCTAAAAATCATGAGTTTTTAGAGACTACGATTTCTGGATTTCCACAATGGACCTTTGCAGGAGTGTCGATCAAACGCTGACCAAGCAGAACAGCACCAGGAATACGCGCGTGTCCCCCAAATATACGTGTTGTCCCACAAACGCCCCCATGCTTACGTACATTTACGCTATTGTGTTGTAACTTAGCAACAATATCTAATGGGCGGGGTTTAGCAGAAAGGTTCCCGTCTGTGCCCTCATGGGCAAAAACATCCTGTATCCGTCTTTGACACGTGTAGGTGTGTAATAAGATGGATGCGTATAAGTTATCAACTCACACGTCACTTGGGCAATCTTTTGGTTTCTTCAATATCGTGTGTTCACCTGACATCATTTGCTGGCGCAGCACGTGACTGTCAACGTCGCTATATGGCTTGATGCGAGCTGTGGAAGATATTCCATTCTCATAAATTTATATGGGCACTTTGTATTGAAAAAAAATGTTTTA